CTTAACTTCGGAGTTCCAATAAAACCCGAAACCAGTGAACTCCCAAAAAGCCTCGTGCTAGGTAAAGATGAGAATATACATATAAGGCTTACAGGATCCACACATCTGGGCGATGTGGGATCTTACAATCCACTCCCTTAAGGCCCCGACGTCCTCGTCGGCACACATCCGATCAGGGATTGGCTCCACCGTAGCATGATATTGTCCGTTTTGGGCCCCGACCATGCCCTCACGGTTTTTGTTTCTGGGAACTCATACAAGAACTTCCTAGTGGGTCACCCATCATAGGATTTCTGTCGCGCGCTACTCGCTTAACTTCGGAGTTCCAATAGAACCCGAAACCAGTGAACTCCCAAAAAGCCTCGTGTTAGGTAAAGATCGGAATATACATATAAGGCTTACAGGATCCACACCTCTGGGCGATCTGGGATCTTACAATCCACCCCCTTAAGAGCCCGACGTCCTCGTCGGCACACATCCAGCCAGGGATTGGCTCCACCGTATCACGATATTGTCCGTTTTGGGCCTCGACCACGCCCTCACGATTTTTGTTTCTGGGAACTCACACGAAAACTTCCCAGTGGGTCACCCATCATGGGATTGCTCTCACGCGCTACTCGCTTAACTTCAGAGTTCTAATGGAACCCGAAGCCAATGAGCTTCCAAAATGTCTCGTGCTGGATAGAGATTGAAATATACATATAAGGCTTACAGGATCCACACCCTTGGGCGATGTGGGATCTTATATCCAGGGCTTGAAACACCCCCTCTTCTAAATTAATGTAATAATTTTGAACTCTTCTTCAAACCCTTAATAATGGTCAAACTTTAAAAAAAATCTATATATATATATATATATATATATATTGTAGCATGGTTATTGTCTAATTCAAATTGAATGGGATTCTATTACTGAAATAATAATAATAAATATGATTCCAGTGGGGATTGTTGCCAATTGGTGCTGGTCGTCATGACATTTTTTTCCCTTTTAAATTCGACAATGGTAATTTAGAGAGAATATGTCTTGTATTTGGGTGTATATACTTTTATATTTGTGATTAAATCATCCTAATGTGATAGAAACAATGAGGTAATACCAAAAACATTTTATCATGATATATTTTATTATTTAAAATTAGAAAAGTCGTGAATCAAAATGATACTTGATTTAAGATAAATCATTGATGAATTGATACCTAATTATTTGTGGATAACTGATCGTCTTGCTTTATTTTTTAATTTTTTTTATTATTTACATGTTAGTTAATAAATGATATTTCATGAATTGAAATGATGGGTTAAATATGGATGACTACTCAACCTTTAGAGGTGATTTCAAATTAGTTTGAACCTTTTAAAAAATTTCACTTATAAGTAAAAGGTCTTAGGTTTAATTCTCGCCAAAGGCAAATTTGAATCATATTATTACTAGCCCATTGTGAGGCTAAACCCACCAATCCTTTTTAGTGTAGATAATATTGTTTGTTAAAAAAAAAAAATATTCAACGAAATACCTAACGTTTTAAAAATTAGACGGTTGTTAGGTCACCAGTTTTAAGTAATGACTTTACCAACATTAAATGCTGATGTTTCTAGCATTAAATGATGAGGTGGACAAATACTAAAGTTGGTCTCTACTAATTGTCGTTTTTGGAGCTTTAATTCCCTAAATCGGCTTAGCCAAACCACGTCGATTTGGAGATTCAAAACTTCATAGATGACTTGAAAAAAAACAAAAAACGGTTCTAAAATTGTTCCCATCATGAATTAACGTTGGTGAACTATATGTTCAGTTTTCAAAACGTTTGCTACTTATTAAGAATGTTTTAAAAGATTAGGATTGATTTGGAATCACTCTAAAAAAAATTAGGTGGTCATCTGGAATTAACCCTAAAATGACATTCATTCCTTGCATATCCATTCCTAATTAGAAGGAAAACGAAAATTTTAGACATTTTTTTTTCTCTTTTTCCACACATTTCTTTTTATTTTGGTTTTTTAGCCAAAATGATCTCTGAGATTGGTATAACTCTTCACGTTGATCTATGAGATTTGAAATCGATCGAAATAGTCCTTGAGTTTGTCCATTATTAATTATTTTTATTATCAAATTAAATGAATCAAAACAAAGTGACAAACATATTATATACTCGTTTTACAAAGAACAAAATAGTCTAATTATTATTTGGTTTGATAGGTAAACATGCTATTATTGGTTTGGGTCTAATTGAGAATGGGAATCAGTGGGCTGTAACCAACACGAAAATCACATATTTTTCTTTGTGGGCTTCGGCTTCCATTTCTCTTGTAGGCTTTTCTTTGGGTGGAGTGCTCTCTTACTGCGGCTGCTTATTGGTGTGTCTTTGTAGCGGACCTTTTTATGATAAATTAATATCGAATTTGTTATTTATAAAATTCAATTAAAACCTATTCATGTACAGGTATAAAAAGAAAAAAAGAAGAAAAAAAAGAGCTATTAGTATAGTTTCTAATAGAGCTTGTTAGGGTAAGTCTTCAATTTGAACTACTAGTCCAGCTTTGTATTAGATTGACAAGTAAGTAAAATTAATATTTTTTTGGTACAATTATGATCTTTACTTCCCGTACTAATTGTATAGTCCGAGTTATTAAAAAGAAATAAAGCTTATAGACATCCTTTTGTTACTTGGGCATCTGTGCCTTGTCCTCTTTTACTTGGCTCTTCAATAATGTAGAATTTCCGCCAACTTTCGTAAGAGTTTCCAAATTGTCACATTTATCAAACATCCCTTTGATTGATAAAGAGATAAGTATGGAGCGTTTGACCACAAGGTCACATGAGAACGTTATCATGAATAAGCAACACTGCCGACCTCTTTCTACTTTTCTCGGCAGTTTCTTTTCCCTTGCATATTCCAAAAGTAACGTTTCATCATGGACCCTCCTCCTTTGCATATTCCATCATCAGCCACTCCTACTCTCATGCTACTTGTTCTCTACGTTATCACTCTCGCTCATGCAAAATTTCCAGGATTTTCATCCCAAAATACGGATCAATATTCAGTAGTTATGTCATTTGCTGACGTTTTCTAGTTGTTGATATAGTAATGATCGCTTGACCTAGTGACATTCTTATGCCTCTTTGTCAACAAAAAGAATAAAAAAAAGGAAGGTATGTTTACCTTGCGGATTATTAGTGTATAATGAGAATGTGTACGAGATCTTTTCATTCATGTGTGGAGCAAAATTCTTGCTGAGATTACGTGACACAAGTGTTCAACTTCGATCAAAGGATGGATTTGGTACTCTTGGGTCCCAGTATATTGTTTTTCAGCATCACATAAGAATTTTTTTTGAGCAATAATTTTGTAATATAATCTCATCTTCGCGTAACAACCTATTTTGTTATAGAATTTATGTTTACACTGTCGACATAATATCATTGTCGTAATAGTAACCTATGTTGTTATAGAATTTACGTTTACACTGTCGACGAGATAGCATTGTCACAATGAAAAACTATTTTGTTACAGAATTTGTATTTATACTGTTGATCATAGTTGCAAAGAGTCGGTTTGCAATTCAAAAAATGCATAATAAAAATAGAGTTTTGACCAAAAGTTCACGGTATTGTTCACTTTAACGAAAAAACACATTTTCACACTAAAAAATAAAATCTAGTACTATTTACTTTACCCTTTATTTTATCATCATCGTTAAAATTCAAAGTTTTCAAATTTTTTTCATTAATTTCCCTTAATAAAAATCTAGAGATCAATACTTATGGAATGAACTTTTATCTCCATGAACAGAAACATGCCCAAAATATCTTCCAGGTTTATATGATTAATTACGTAAAATGTCATCCTTGTGTAATATATTGCAAATAAATATCTTCACACACAACTGGATCCAGTTAGGTCAAACAGTAGATCATATACTAAGCAAAACTAAACATAATAACAACCACTTCCACGACTATCACACGTTGGGTTTCCCATTTTGCCCCCAAACACCATCATTTTTGTGTTGTAATGAGTTCCACAGGTGTATACGAGTCCCAATCACGCACCGATATTGTTACACTTTAATCACTTATATTTGATACACTGAGTTGAATTGTGCTTTGTTGATGAAAGAAGAGCAGTAAGTATTGGACATTTGTCCATTTGTGATTTGAGTTCAGTGGCACTTACTGCTCTTCTTTCAACAGCGAAACATTGTTTTATTGAGTTAAAGGAGGTCCAATGAATTTTAGGTGAAGAGTTTTATCTTAAAGGATTTCGGTGCAATTAGTAGTGAAATATATATACTTTTATGACATGTTTAATAAGATGAATATGGAAGAGGATGAGAGGAAATAAGCACAGGATAAAAGGAAAGCCCAATAGTTATTTCATACCTTCATTTTTAGGTTTGCCATACTCAAAATCAATGAGAATCACATACATTTCCATTTCATTAACTGTTAATAAACACATAAATATGAACAATACATGTATTTGCAAATCTATTATCTTTAAGTAAAGATGCTTTTAAAATGTATTTGAAATCGACCATTGACCAAGAGCCAACAAAATCCTCTTTGGATTGTTTTGGTGAGGATCCTAGAGGTCTGTAGATCGTATCCGTTTATCGTATATCGTGTGATCAGTTTTTGTCAGGTTCTATTTGCATTTAATTTTAAATAAAAATATTTAAAATAATTTTTTACCATACGGATGAACGTATATAATTAACGGATCTTTAAAATCCTTACAAAAAGATTTGGTGAGGATCCGGATTCGACCAAGAGAAGAGAAACACATTTTTCTTTATTTACGTACTCTTATTTAACCATGTATGATGCTTTGTCTAAGTTCTTAATTTTATGAACAAAAAACGTGTGAAAACTCGAAAGAGTGAAAATCAGCTGCCATGAACACTTTGGGACAAATTCAAAACACAAGGGTAGTCAGGTCATTGCATCGAGAGAGTACGGATCACACTTCACCCCTTATAAAATAAGGACACCTGCATCTCACACTACTCATCAAAATCCGGACTTTAAGTATCTTCAAAGCAGAGCAGCAGCAGAAACAGAAGAAACCAAATCTCCAAACCTTCCAAAATACAAAACCCAGAAAGAAAAAAAGGCAGACAAAAAGAAAAACCCAGAAAAAAAGAGAGATTCCACAATGGTGAGGACCAGCAACCACTTGATTGGACTACTAAATTTCGTAACTTTCCTCCTCTCGATCCCCATACTGGGCGGAGGAATCTGGCTGAGCAGCCGCGCCAACAACACCGACTGCCTCAAGTTCCTCCAATGGCCGCTCATCGTCATAGGGGCCGCAATCATGGTGGTTTCTCTTGCTGGGTTCGCGGGTGCGTGCTACAGGAACACCTTCCTCATGTGGGTGTACCTGTTCGTCATGTTCTTCGTCATCGCCGCCCTCATCGGCTTCATCATCTTCGCCTACGCCGTCACTGACAAGGGCTCCGGGAGGTCGTTGACGAATAAGGCTTACAAGGACTACTACCTGCAGGACTATTCCGGCTGGCTGAAGGACCGCGTGGCGGATAATGGCTACTGGAGGAAGATTGCGTCTTGTGTGAGGGACTCAAAAACTTGTCAAAAGATTGGGAGGAGTGTGAATGGTGTGCCTGAGACTGCTGACATGTTTTACAGCAGAAGGCTCAACTCTATCCAGGTATGTGAATAATTAAATTCTTATTCACGTTTTCGCATCTGAATTTATTTAAAAAAAAAAAAAATTGTATGGGATTTAGAAACTTTATTTTTTGATAAGGGCCTTTATCACAGTAGTGAAAATATCTTGAGCTCTTGTATAACAACATAAGTTTAAATCTCGTGGGTAACTAATCTAACAAAATTTATTGAAAAAGAAAAAGAAAACTTTATTATTTGGTTTTGTTCATATTCGTTGGAGGTTTATTTATTTATTTACAAAAAAAAAGGATAATCTACATTAAATTTGTTTTTAAGGATAATTTCGGTTCTCATTCTTCATTTTTGTTTTCATTATTAATTTTTTTTTTTCAATTTTTTGTTCAAGATTCTTAGACTTTTGTCCATGTCATTATTTGAATATTAAATTATTTACATATTATAATATGTCAAATTTAAAGATAAATACTTTATTAATTATTTACAAATATTTTTCATATATAATTTATACTCATTTTTAAAATTTGCACCAATATTCTGTCTAGTTTTATTTTGTACCTATAATTTAAAATTTTAATATGTATCCATATTTTTTAATTTAATTTAATTTGTACCCATAATTTTTTTGGTAAATGTATTGACGTTAATTGCATGTATTTACTTTATGTTTTAAAATATATCAAATATTTTTTTTAATATAGGTTGATAATTACGTGGGTGCATTTTTTTGTGTGCTAGAAATAGGTGAAAAACAATTTTACTCGATTATTGATTTTTAAGTAATTATTATATTGTGCAAAAACTACTTGAATTGGTTTAAATTTCATAATTTGTGTGACATTAAATACACAAATACAGAAGTTTAATCCCTTGAAACTTCGATCAAACTATTTAAACAAACAATGTTTTATTTTAACAATGAGATTGATTAGAGATCAGAACTAAAATGATCCTTTATTTAAATTATGGAAAGGAGTTCGATTTGGGTCCAAAAGGGAGCAAATAAGCAACTTGATTAAGCCAAAGTTCGTAATAGTTGAAGTTTTAGTATTGAGCGAAGGATCAATTTCAGGGACACTTAGTCTCGAATTTTGACGGAGGAAAGTAGTTGAAATAAAAATAATTTAGGGTTCCACTTCATGGGACAAGATTATTTCACTTAGTGTTTAATGGTTTTTTATTCAAGTTAAAGTTGACATGATTAATTTGTGGGTTAGTGGTAGTAGATCTGGTTTTGGATTTTAATGGATTGATGAGATCCTTCAAATTTGCTAGGGAAGATACAATCTGACAAACCAGGGGTGGGGTTTGAGGTTAAGTCCACCTTTTAATTGGTTCTTGTATTGTACCAATAAGTTTGCCTTTTGTAAAAAAATCTTGCTCTAAATTTATCAGTTATTTCTTTAAACAAACAAAATTATTTACATTAAGAGCTTAAATTCATCAATTATTCATACGACACATTTTTTTTTTTATAACTTTTTAATTTTGACAAAAAAAAGGAATAACATTGTGTCTCCTAGCCCAAACCATCAATTAAATTTAAGGAAAATTAATGAAAAGGATAAAATGAATAGTACCAGATTTGACTTTTTAATGTAAAAATGTAATTCTTTGTTAAAATGAACAGTATCGCGGACTTTTCGTTAAAATTCTTTTAAATTTATAGGCTCATGTAAAAGTTAAAATAATATAAAATTCTTCATGTAAGTCCAAGTTAAAACATAATACTTTTAGTACTGTTATTTACAGTTTAAAATTTTCTTTGTATTCTTAAAAGTAAATGAACTTATTAGAAACATACTATAAGATTTTTAGACCGTCAATATCAATTCTAAGTTTTTCAACAATGATATAATGGCACAATGGACTGGGCGGGGAGCTTAACCGATAAAATCGCTAATTCCAATAATTGTGTCTGCATTTCATCAGTGGAAGTGATGTTAACAAGATACCACTTAAAGTTAAACCCCCCTGCGCATAAAAACAGAAAAGCCCACTTGTAGCCTTGTTACACTTTCTCTGAAGATACTTAATTAACACTCATTAAAAAATACAAAGTAATTTACCGATAACGGATATTCGAGAAAAATATCATTAAACAAAGAGCTAATTCGTAAAAACCCAACCGATCTAAAACTCGAGCCAACTCTTAGAAGTCAAGAGAGTCCTATAAAATGTTTTAAGAAGGAAGGTTCACATGTCATCTTTATGGTAACAGAATTTCTTTTTAGGTTAAACATCCTTTTCTCATATTTTGTCTGGTACTTGTTTTAGAGGTAGGAAATAATAATGGTACACCTTGGAACAAACTTGGATTTGACATAAAGTTTTCCCATATCTTTTTTGGGCGCACTTTCCGTTTTATTTTATTTTTATTTTTTTGTATATTTTTCTTTGTCCATTAAAAAATTAAGTCCACGCATTATTGGTGTAACCAAGAAAAAGTGTCTTTAACTTCTTGGTGGAAAAATGCAACGTTCCATATATTATGCAACAGGATCCTCACCGGTTCCTTTTGATGAGGATTCTGAAAATTTGTGAATCGTGTTTTTTTATTGTACATCGTGTAGTTATTTTTTATCAAGTGTTGTTTATGTTTAATTTTAAATAAAAATATTTAAAATAATTTCTGATCGTACGATGTACGATAAACGAACAAGATTGACGGATCACTGGAATCCTCGTAAAGAGGTTCCCGGTTCAGATATTATTGAGCATGTTCCATACCTCACATGTTGGAACGTCCAATTTTAAAATCACTAGAGAAGAAAGAAATAATTTCAAAGAACTATAACTTTATTTATGGCATCAACCAAAACTATAAGGACCGAAATCATTCTTTGGCCTATTTATATACCGTAAGTATGGTATATGGCATTACTTAAGGGTGATCTGTTTCACTTGCTCAAGTTAGAATCTGTAGCTATTAGGAAAACATAGCAAAATATGTAGGAAAAGTAATTGAAAATCACAGAAAAAGGAAACGTTTCTTTCGTAAGGACGGTATATGTGTGTGCGTGCGAGCGAGCGTGTATTTGTATTGATATGATGACTGAAGTACCATTTCCCCCTCATTTGTTCTACAGTCTGGCTGCTGCAAGCCCCCTACAGAATGTGGATATAGCTATGTGAACGAGACCGTCTGGACCACCGGAGCAGGTTTTTCCGGGACCAGTAAGGACTGCACACTGTGGAGCAATGACCAACAGCAACTCTGCTATTCCTGCAATTCTTGCAGAGCCGGTCTCTTGGCCAGCATCAGGAAGAGCTGGAGGAAGGTCTCTGTGGTCAACATTGTTGTGTTGATCATCCTAGTTATCTTCTATGTGATCGGTTGTGCAGCATTCCGCAACAACCGCCGGATTGACAACGACGAACCCTATGGCGAGGCTCGGATGACAAAATCACACCCAAGTGCTTTCCAACTCTAATTTTAGTGGTAGAGAATTTAATACGTGAAAAAACTATGTGAAAAATCTATGTTAAGTTTTTCGGGGTTGCACTTATAGGACTTACTTGTCTTAGTCAAGTGAGCATTATGAATTTGGTTTGAATTTCGATAATTTGGCTGTATATGTGAATTATTGGTACTCTATAGCCTTGTAGACTCTATTGACCATCTGCTGGAGAGGAAAAAGGATGCCAATTTGCTTGATTTTTCTTCGGCATCTGTTTACACTAACTGCAATCACGACGTGGAAAGCGGTAGTGTAGGTGCTTGATGTGGTGGCGTTGTGTTGTGTTGGGGTGTGATGTACCTCGACGATGTGCAAAAGTGTCCACACTTTGTACATATACGTCTGAAGGAAAACGTAGTTTGCATTACTCTTTTTATGTAAGTTGCACAGATGACATTGAAATGCAGAAAATCAACTCTAAATTGAATTCCCCAGATGTGAAACACATTCATTTAACTTGCAACATGAACATGGAAATTGTAAAATTAGAAAAACGATTATATTCGACCACTGACCTCGTTCCATTTTCGACTACTCTCTTGCTTGTGATTTCACATCATCTGATGTATCTTCCTCGCGGCTTTGTTCCGGACTCCATCTTGTAACTGTGCGCTCGTCAACCGTGTAGTTTGCCAAACATGACGGAGAATCATCATCGTCACCATTTTTACTAATAGTCAGAACTAGCAATGTCTTTACAACACCTAAACAAAGCCTTAAGGTGCAATGAACATCAGACCACACCTTCAATCGCCCATTTGCTTCAGCATCTCCTTCTGATGACACAAGCACAGCATATTCAGAATGGACCAAACTCGGATGGTGACGGTAAGCAACAAAGTCCGCACCATATTGAAGTCCGGGTCTCACAACCCAATTTTTGGTTCGAAGGTGAGAATACGCCTTGTAAAATACAGGAAATCCAGCTTTTTTGGACTTCATGCACTGCCAAAGCTCTTGATCGTCCTTCAGGCGTTTATCTTCGCCTGCTATCCTGAGGCACTTTAAAGAATAGCACAGGAAAAATGCCTCTTCCATGCCCAACTGAAACCACTGCCTATCCTTATCGGCATTAACAATCGGGTGGCCAAAGTAGGCACGACCAAAGAGAAGGGCTTGTTCTTCTTCTGCAGCAAGAAGTACGCTGCTCCCGCATAAGATTCCTCGGGCATCTGATTGGATAAGAGAAGACTGAAGCTTCAATACTATCTTTGACATTGGATCTGCAAGTGCTTTAGCTTCCGCACCTTTTCCTTTCCATCTAGGCCCCATTCGATCCTACAACAAGATCAAACACAATACAACAAACAAATTATCGCCCTGAAATTCAGCTTACAAGCATTGCTCCATGCACCCAACAATCAACTTATCGCCCCGAAAACCAACTTATTGCTGCTGCCAGCATTGGAAATCTCTGTTCTTAATTTGCTATAATCAAAAAATAAAAAAAATTCAAAACACAAACTGATTCAAAATTAGCGATACTCTACATTAATGATTAATCTACGCTAAACGGAAGGGGAAGGATTTGAATACGCTGAAGAGGAAGGTCCTAACCAACAATCCACCACTTAGCAAAGTTACAAATTTTAATTGATTCAAAGAGTATTAGAAACCCACTATTTAAGTTAGAGGTGTTAGGTTGAATTCTCGTTAAATACGAATTTGAACCAAATGATTGCTAACCCATATTGTAAGGCACTGAGGCTTAACCTACTCTTTCACCCATAATATCTTTTGTTAAAACATAAAAATGAAAATTCGGGAAGCAAACCTTTTCGTAGACGAAGAAGAAGCTCTCTTGTGGATGTGATTGTTCAAATAATCACACACTTGGGAAGTTTGTCCTCGAGCTTCTGCACTACGCTCCTTCAAAGTTTTATGCGGCGCCGTTTTGCTAATCGGCTTTCCTTGTACAGAATTGAGAATCTGCAACACAAGTAGAAGGGAGGACTGTTACCCAATTCGCGCAAACCCTTGGAGATTTCCGATTTGGTCGATTAATCCTATTCGTGAATCGTCTGCGACCCAATTTGCTAAAACCTTGGAGTTGGAGAGATGGTGGATGTTTGGCCGGGGCTGCTCGCGGTGGCGCCAAAATTGCAGCGGCTCGGGGGAGGAGACCTATTTTCTCACGGAGGAAGACCTATTTTTGTTTTAAATTTTCATTTCTGTAATTTCACGAAACGGTGAGTTTTACGTGAGAGTCTCGTTTCTACTTTTTATACACGTTCATTAATTTTTTGTATTTAATATTTTTTATTTTATCTGAATTGATGATTGAAAATTAAAAAAAAAAACAAATAAAAAATAAAAATAAATGCGTTAATAGCATTACTTTTTTTCATTATTTTCGAAGGAGCCAATTTTGGTGAGATTATTGATTCAAAATTTATATTTCTTGTAAGAATTTTTTTTCTACAATTAACATTCTAAAACGAATTTTGGCAGGAAACGGCATACCCAGTGGGTGTTACCCACCACTTTGCCTACCTAGTAACTAGCGAACTTATGAGTAGGCTTGTGATACTAATATATTGAAATCGTGTAAGAATCACGTTAATAATAGGCGGTAAAATTTGAGTATGATACTAATTTATTAAAATTATGAGTGCAATATATTAAAATATGCGTGATAAACATATTGAATACATCCTAGTGTAGTATAAGGTTATAAGTATCAAACTCAACTGTCTGATTCTTATATGTAGATATTACACTCACTCAAACTAATGGAAGACATAACAAAAACCACATGGTTAAGCTTTACAAAACTTAAAAAAAACGTAAAAAAAGAAAAAAATGATAAATTTCTCCAAAAAAAAAAAGAAAAAAAATCGAGTTGGATAATTGAAAGCTTCAAGTTTCGATCCGAACCGTTGAACTAAAACTTGATGAACAAATAGGCCATTTCATAATGCTATCTTCAAAGCGAGCAAGTAAAGTCAATCGAGTATCATACTGGAATCCCCATTCGGAGGGCAAAACAATTTCACTTTCCCTAAAACTTTTACTCTTCATATTGTAGAGATGCAGTCTCACATGATTCGGGTGTTGTCTGCTTAACTTCGAAGATTGGAGGACGAGCTCACCTGTGTGAATGGAACAGAAAGGGACGGGGTAACCTAATTCATTCCAAACAAAGGGAAATCTGAAAGTCTCCTTAATCCACACTTGATTTTCGTAGTCCCTCAAAATCCATAACCCCATCGTATTTTGTTGTGCCAACTGCTCGTCGCCAATTAGCGCCAAACATCCAAACACTTCAACTATATTCCCATGTGCAAAGTTAAATTTATGTATAGCGCAATTATAATCACGAGGAAGTGGGATTGTTCTGAATTTCTCGTCTCCAATGTCGAAAACCACTAGGATATTTTGTGTGTCATGCATCCAATGTATGGCGCCATTGACACTCACATTTCTCCTATGAAACGGGCACTTGAAAGGATCAAAAGGTAGGTCATTAAGGTCCGTATGCACCTCCATAAACTTGTGCCTAATTTGAATATCTTGAACATAAAAGTCATACCCCTTGTCATAGAATCACGAGGCTGAAACCTTTGTACTTGGAGAACTTTATACTCATTTGTAAGAGGACTAAACCCCAAGTGATGTGGAGAATGGGCACTACGGCAGCACCTGGGAAATGCATGTGGAAGAACAATAAACTCCCGTGTTGAGGGATTGAACATGCGAAGAAGATTATCACGATTGGCTTGATTGTGATGGGGGAACATGGCTTGATTGTAGAGACGTTCATTGAAGGACAATGTTGGAAGGTTTAGAAGGTGCGTGGCAGCTGTTGGAATTCCTTCTTGGTTGATTTGCACAGACAGGAAGTGTTGTTGCCTTGTGGATTTGTCCCAAGTAGTGAGGAGGAGGTGATTGAGCTTGTTACGGTGGAAGGTTTGATGGGCGTCGACAAAGGAAGGGCTGCGGACGAGAGAGGACCAAGACTTGCCTACGCATCTGAATCGCATGAGGGACTTGGACGGCAGCCTTGGTAGTATCTGAGAGCATATAATTTCGCTTGGGAGCTCGGAGCCAGCTGATTCCATGTCTTGATCCATACTCTAGATTTCCTTCTTTAAGGGGTAAGTTACCTTACAAGTAATGAGTCACAACTAGTTTTGTAGTGGCCGATGGAGAAATTGGGAAATCTAAAGTTCATATTTTGTATCCGAATAATTGACAAGTTCTAAGTTTGAACGTATTTCTATATGTGTATGCTAACTATGCAGTTTATTTGTCTCACTTTACAAGGTTCAAATCCTTTAACAACTCCGTTGAAATTCGTGTAGAGCATGAAAGAGACCTTTTTTTTTAATTTTTCTGAAATGTATGTCAATTGAGATTTTTATAAACACCTAAACCCAAATAAAATTACAAAGAACATTACATGGCCGACTTTTTAGTCAAAGTAGTCCTTGATTAGCACAACTCCTCAATTGACACAATACAAAGCTAATAAGGATTACCAGCGTAAGTCCTTAAAGAACAAGTTCTGCAGTCCACCAGAATTTGAGAGAAATCCAAAGGTTTTGTTTGATTAATATTGATGAAAGTTGAGTTTACATTGGAAGTCAACGCTTCTAAAGACATAAAATCAGAGCTCAAGAGTCTTTGGATCAAACAATGACAATAATCGGATGTGAAATGAAAAGTCCAATTTTTATTAACATAATTTAAAATGCGGCTGGAAGCCTAAACATCCTCAAATGGCTAAAATCCCCTGTACATATAAAAAAAATTGTGTGTTTGAACCGGCGCGTCGTTCTCTTTCCAGGAATGTATCACGAACTCAAATCGAAGCTCAGACGCTAAACTTGAAAATTCCCGCTGAATCTCTTTGTCTTCTTCACTCCATTTCATCTTCAATCAATTCGGCTCAGTGGCGAAGCCACTTGAGGACAAGGAGAGGCCCATGCCTATCCTAAAGTTTCTTCACCTTGTAGCTTTTGTTTGTGTGCTTTTGGTTGGATACTCTGCATTTTTCGACTTGTGTGCTTTTACTCTTAGCTAGCTTTATTATGTTTTCTAATCGACAAGAAAATGTGTTTTACAATAGTATTGTTGTGAAACCAAAGCCTTATATCAACTAGCATTCTTCAATTAGTTCACTATTTTGCATGATAGATTAATGTCTTAAAGTGAAACCACGCATACTTAGAAAAGAGGAAGACTTTATATTGAGAGACAATTTTCATAGCTAGTTTTGTAGTGGCCGATGAAGTATGGGAATTATTGGGAAATCCAAAGTTCATAGTTTATATCTGAAGAATAGACAAGTTCTAAGTTTGAATGCATTTCTATATGCGCATGCTGACCATGCAGTTTAGCTGCTTTGGTGAACTCGCTTGAAAACTCCAAAAAAATACAAAAATAACTTATTTTAAAATTCAAAAAATGAAAGTAATATTAATTGCAGGTTCATGACCTTCCACTAGGTTACTATTTCTCACACTTTTTCCGATTCAAAGTTTGAACATTTGACTATGCAGTTTATACGTCTCACTTTACAAGGTTCAAATTCGTTAATAATTCTGTCAAAATTCGTGTAGCATGAAAAAGATCTACTTTTTTTTTTCTTCTGAAATATATGTCACTTGAGATTTTTGTAACAACCAACCCAAATAAAATTACAGAGAACATTACATGGCCATATCAAGACCAATCAAAATTACAAGGTTCGATAAGATTAAACAGCAGGCAAAACAGAATACATACCAATGTATGGCATTTGATTCAGACGATCCAATAGGCCATCGCATCTCATTGTAAGGGCACAATGTTATCATCATAACTCACAACTAACTTCAATCGAGCATCGTTAAGAAATGTCCAGGGCAGGCCAATTTCACTTCCCCTAAAGCTTTTACTCTCCATATTGTACACATGCACTCTCACATGGTCCGGCGGTTCATGCACATGTAATTCTGTAGATTGGAGGAGGAGCTCACCATTGTGAATGGTACGCAATGGAACGGGGCATCCTAACGCCCTCCAACGAAGGGGAAACGTGATAGCCTCCCTAATCCACACTTGATTTTCGTAGTCCTTCAAAATCCATAACGCCATCATATTCTGTGATCTCACCAATGTCTTGTCACCAATTAGAGCCAAACATCCGCCCACCTCAACCACATTTCTCATTGATTCTCCCATGGGGTAACCAATACGATGTATAAAACAGACATAATCTTGAGGAAGTGGGATCACTCTGAATTTCTCGTCTCCAATGTCAAAAACCACTACAACCTTTTCTTTCAAATGCATCCAATGCATGGCCCCACTGATGCACACACTTTGCACTTCAAACGGACACTGGAGAGGTTCAAAGGGGAGATCGTTACGGTCTACCTCTAGGCGCCTCCATAAACTAGTACCTAATTTTAAAATCTTGAACATGAAGGTCATATCCGTTGGAATTGAATGGTGAGGCCGGAAAGTTTGCACTTGAAGAACCTTATACTCATTTGTAAGAGGACTATATCCAAAGTGATAGGTAACGTGGGATGTACAGTACGTAGGTGAAGCATGTGGTAGAATAATAGACTCTCGGGTGCAAGGGTTGAATATGAAATTGGGAGGATCAAGATATGCTAGGGTATGATGACGAGATGAGGTGTTTGAAAGGTAAAGGCAGACCAAGCCATTGGTGCTTTGCGCATTGTAGAGACGATGATCACTGGCCATTGGAAGGTTTAGAAGGTGGATGGCGGGTGTTGGAGTTCCGTCTTGGTTGATTTGTGCAGAGAGGAAGTGTTGTTGCCTTGTGGCTTTGTTCCAAGTGGTGAGGAGGAGGTGAGTGAGCTTGTTCCGGTGGAAGCTTTGATGAGCATCGACAAAGGAAGGGTTGCGGACGAGAGAGGACCAAGACTTGCATACGCATTTGAAGCGCATCAGGGATTTGGACGGTACCCTTGGGAGTATCTGACAGCATATAATTTCGTTTGGGAGGTCGGAGCCAGCTGATTCCATGTTTCTCTTCTACTTTCTTGGGCGATATCCTTACTAGTCACAAATAATTTTATACAGGTAGAATGTGAATGGAAGAACTTAAGTTCATAGCATAATTGCCGGATTCAGTCAAATTCAAATTAGACAAAAATTGAAGAAACAACTGAAAAACGCTCTTGGCTAATCTACAGCGAGAGACTTACAAGTACGATCATCTCTTCAAGAACAGAAGTGAATTGCTCGTCCCCTTTGAGAAGAGCTTAACACTGGGGAGGTTCCAATTTTGAGCTGGCCTTGCTTTCGGGACTTTGATTATCTGACATGATTGAGATGAGGGAGAAAGAGGAGGGAAAGTGAGAGTGAAGTTCGTCCTTGTGTTCGTCGGCGAAGGAGAAGAAAGGAGAGGTGGGGGAGAGTCGGAGAGGAGAAGAAAATAATGATTAACAAGGGAAGGGAAAGGTTAATAAGAAAATTCATTATTTTATTAGTAAGAATATTTTAATAAGAGAGCTATTAGATTCACCACATTGTCTTATTTTCCATCCACGTTATAATCCCACCCACCTTAAAAAGTTAAAAAATTAAAATGCTATTTTCCCACCGACTATTAATCTCAAAATAACCATTAATATTGTTGATCCTCAAACTACCAAGCATACGTGGCGCGCAGGTCGAGTAATTAATAATCTAACTACGTCATTCGATTGTGTGCGGGGTGTACCAACTCTTCGGCCGAGCTCGGCCGAGAGTAAAATGTGTTGATGTCGTGTTGGGTGCGCTGCTAACTTCTTGATCTTGCGACTGTGACTGAGGAAGGAACACGTTTTGGCATTCGGGTTCTAGAGCCTAAAGACAAGGCTGCTAGTTTTGCGAAGTTTAATATCAAATTTGGATTTCAATGTGCCGAATGTAGTAACCTGTAACACCTCACTTCGCCGAGAAGGCTAATGAGATGATCTCTGCCAATAAGGATTTGAAAATCCTTCTCGACTGAGACTTGGATAAATAACTAGTCGGCTGAAAAGCAGTGCTGTTTATCTAAACTGAAGGTGTTCCTTGATCAGCTGATTCTACGGCTCCAGTACTGTTTATCCAAACTAAAGATGTCACAGGTTGCCTTCACAGTGCTGTTTATCCAAACTAAAGATGAGCCGACGAAAAAGGAAAATAAAAATCTCAAGGTTGTTGAGAGGTTTCGCGTTGAGCGAGAGTTTGTGCATGGCAATTTGTATATTAAATTAAAGGGCTCTTCTTGTTGCCGCTACCTCTGTATTTATAGGTTTCAATTCTTGCTTGGCACGACCCAGACGATAAGCAGAGCATTTCAATTACACCCAAAGACTTCGTAATGGAATATTCTGAGAAGTAGAATGATGACCACATGCGAATCTAGACGACAAATAGGGACTCTGTATGCTAACCCTATTTTATTCCAACTTTGACTTATTTTTATCCCATCAGAACTTATTTCATCATAGCCTAGCCTACCTAGGCTTCTTTCCTCACCATCATAGCCTAGCCAAAAAGTAATCATTATCCTCCGTCATAATTAAACGCCTCATGCATGCATCCTGATCAAATGAATTTCAAATTCATTTTTAGCTTTCAAGTGTCGTCAGACATTCCAAATCAAATCGAATTGTACTACTTGTTTGGGATATAATTCTCATTCTATTTATCTGGTTTAAGAAGATGTAGATATTAAAAAAATAATTATTATGATAAAACCATAATATTATCTTTTAACAATAATAAAAGTATCTTCTTCCATCTGACGGTTAGGAGCTATGCCTACTTAACGGCCTTGATTGCATGGGCCGATGATGTAATTTTGGATCCAAACAAATATATAGATACATATGGAATTATAAAATTGTCTCTTAAAAAATTTAAACAAATAAAAAGGTTTGCAAATTCAAATGGAAACGACAGAGATATCCAAATTCAAAAGAATTCGACAACCCAAATTCAAAAATACAATGGACAAATTTAAATGACCCACATACAAATTATTCTTCTACCTTTTGAATGGAAACATAATCTTCTACCTCTTTCGTAGAAACGTCATTTTCCACCTCTTCAATGAAAAAGTCATCTTCTAAGTCCATTGATATTTTTTATGAGTAAATATCAGATTACTACCTTCATGTTTTATGGTTTTCAACATTTAGTACATCAAGTTTTTTCGTCCCAGAGTCATACGTAAAGTGTAAATTTTAGGACAATCTTATACATCTGTTAGTCAAATTGTTAAGTCTTTCGTTAACTGATGACGTAGCGCTTACGTGAACAATGCTTGGACGCCACGTGTCAATAAGAATCCCATGTGGATATTAAAAATTACAAAATTACAAAAAACAAAAACAAAAGGTTGTTCTTCCTCAACCTCGATCGTCCCTCCCTTCTCGACTTCCACCCATATGTGCAAATCTAACCCTCTCCCCCCCTCAACCCCCAACCCACTCAATTTAAAAAAAAAAAAAAAAAAAAAAAAGTTCCTCTGCAACTCATACCTTCCCCCAACCCCCTCCCTCCCTTCTTTCCTTTGTAACTCATACGCACCGAGAGAAGCGGGGAGATAAAACAACGAATCATCTCAAAAAATGATCTTCCATCCTTTGATCCTATGAAATTAACCGCCGCCGATGCTTCTGAAATCAGTTTCGGTTGAAAGCAAATACAGGAAAAGTCTGAGAGAAGGAGAAAAGGAGCCAAGTTTATAAACCTAATCCGAATCCCATCTCTCGCAACCATTTTCAATTTCTTTTCCTTTTCTCAGCTGTAATTTTCAAAATCCCTCAATTAATATTTAGAAGAATTTTTGGGGCTGACCTAAAAACCTTTAAGATTTAGGTTTCAAAGAGTCCATGGTTTCTCAGAAGGGCCAAAACAGAGTCTTCATTTTGTTAGAAACAATCAAATGTTAAGTATATATATTATACAACAATTGCACAGTTTATTTCGAATAATAATTTCACAAGGAAACAATATATATATATATATCTATATATCTCACAATATAAACAATTACAAAACTGAATTAATGAATCACAAAACACTGACTTGGTTAGGAAGATAGAGGCTTGCAGTAGCAATCTCCTAAGACAGAAATACGCCCCTACACCAGTGCAGTAGTTCAAATGGACGTCTATCTTGCAGGATACAACTATCTAATCCAAGTTCTTGCACTCGAACTTGGATTCTTGGCGAATTGATTGTGTGGTTCTCAGCGAAATATGGAGGAATGAATCTGGAAAAATTGATTCTTGTTTCTGATTTTATTGCCCTATATATAATGGCATGATGTGAACTTATCCAACCATTCATGCTTATCAGTTTTTTAAAAAGAAAACCGAATGCAACTGTTAAAAACTGAACGTAACTGTTCAGACAGTTTTATCCTTTCGGAAAAAACTGAATCCAAAAAATCAAAAACGTAACTTGTGTCTTTCGTCCATCCGAGCCCAAGAGCCCCAAGGCCCAAGGTCCATCTTTGACATTTAATATATACACCCAAACTCTCCAATTCTAAGGCCCAAGGTCCATGGCTTTGGCCCAAATCAATTCAAACTATAAGTGAGTCCATTTACTTATAAAGGTGATGTTCAAGGAGTGTTTGGGCGATGTGGGACTCCAAGCCCCACATAAAACACAGTTCCAACACATTTTCTGGAGATCGCAACTTGAAGATCTTGGATGCCGAGATTGCACCTTCTGAGGACAACCCACATGAGTTTATGAGGTAATTGACTGTGAAATGGTGTTAGGTTTCTGAGATTTTTGATGTGAAGGGTCTGTAAAGCAACTGATTTCGAAGAGAAAGGGAGGGGGTTGAGAGAGGTAGAAGACGGATGGTTTTTGGGTTGACCCGCACCAGATCGGCGGCGAGTTCGGGGTTCCGACTCAGTAACTCTTTGGCAAAGCAGAGTGGCCCAAAAGCTGTGAAGTGGAGATGGTGTGCCGAGGAGGAGAGAGAGGAGGGTTAAAGAAGGGAGGGAGAACAAGAAGATGTTCGAAGGAGAAGAGCAGTTTTTTTTTTTATTTTTTTTATTTGTTGTCGTTGTAATTTTGTAATTAAAAAAAAAATTTAATATATAATATATAATATTTTTAATATCCACTTGGGACCCTTATTGACATGTGGGCGCCATGTCATTAGTTAACAGAAGACCAACGGATGTGTGAAACTGTCCCAAAATTTACATTTTAGATATGACTCTAGGACGAAAAAAACTTGATGTACTAAATGTTGAAAACCTCGAAACATGAGGGTAGTAAACTGATATTTACCTTTTTTTTTTAATTTTCTTTGAATGTAAGGAGATGAAAATATAAGTTAGGGTTTAACGTAAACAAATCTTCTCCCACGCCCAACTTTTTTTTATTTTTAATCTTTTAAATTAAGCAAAACAAGATAATTAATGTCCTTATCAGTCTTTTTGCATACTGACATTTGTAATTAAAATTTTTATTAAAAAATGGGTAAGAAGATAAGACATTGGAATAAGAATAATATCGTTCTTAATCATAATTTATACCATTTGACTAAACCCAACTACCTAATATTTTAATTAACAAAAAATAAAGTAAAATTTGATTCACTTTATTACTAAACAATTTTAGCACCGAAGATTTAGTGGATGCAAAAAATACAAGATCAATTTTAAGTTATTTGTTTCTTAAAATACTAATATGTCTGAAGGACATTGGAGGTTATTGAATTGTTTGTATGTGGCAAATTTTGATTTTTAAACTTTAAAATTATACCACAGTAAACTGGGGTTTTTTTTTCAAAGAGGATGAGAATTTCAAACTTGCGCAAGAGTATTTTCCTCCAAATAATCCAAAAGTAAACAAAAAGTAGAGCTTACTTTTTGCACTTTTATATTTATGTTCAATTACAACCTCTTTCAATATATAAATATATTGATTCCATATATTTATTTGTCGCCTTATTTTAATATTCATTAAATGATCTGTTAATTCAATTATTAAATGATGACATAATAAATATGAAATTCACATTTTTAATGACGTAGCACACAAACCTAACCGCTTAATTAGAAATCAAAATTTGATTCTATCATTATATTGGTAGTAGAAGCCGCACCCTAATTAAATACAATAACATTCAACAGCTGACGTCATATGATACCTCATTACCCAGCTTCACTTTCCCTATTTATACCCTCACTTTGTGCTTCAAGCAAGCCCCGCCCCACCTCACCTCAGCTCAGGTTAGCTCTCTCTCTCTCTGTCTCTCTCTCTCTCAGCATATACCAAGTCCAAACCAAAGCTTCAAGCTTGAGCTGCAATGGAGTGCAGTACTGAAACAATGAACACAAATTACACAACCACTTCATCAACTATGTCTCAATCTCCTCCTTCATCTTCACCATCGTCTCCGCCAACCCCAACT